AAAGTATTTCCGAATTTACTCTAAGTCGTTCTTATTTTTACCTGGGTTTAGTCCGAGACAAAACTTTTTAAGCATCCACATTGTATACTGATTTCAAAAAAAATATGCAATAACATTACCACTTTTTCTCTTCTACACGCTCGTTTAATTAGAATAGATCTGACGTTTCAGCTCTCAATTTTTGTAAATTATACCATTTTCTTTGTCTTCATGATTACCCTTATTTAGTATAAATGAGTTTACATTATGTTGTTTCTTATTAGATGAGTTTAAACCAACTATAGGAAGTTAGGCGCTCGAACTTTTATATCAATGCGTAACATGTTATCATCTTTGATATTCTATGTCTATGGAATAAATGAATTTATGGTAATTTCAGGAACATTTTTTTATCATATGTCGCATGCTATAATATTTGAAATCAGAATTAAAAGCTATCCGCCTATGCAAAAGTAGCATACATAAGAAAAAACAATGTTGAGACGGGGGATAAGAGACGAATAATCATATTAATGTTCTATTTTTGACATCTTGTAGAGATCAAAAGGTGGCAATGTCAATGTGCAGTATATTTTGGAATCCTATCTCAAACAGATTCAGAAAAAAATCGTTACCCTTTTCGTGTACCTCTGGAGATACTAGAAATGTCAATTGCATTTTCTAAAATATATATGGTAAATGCGCTACTTTGCCACCTTTCAACCGACCCGTATTTCTTACCGTTTTAGAGATCACAGTACCTAATTGTGAAAATATGACAAAAACATGTAAAAAACGGCAAAGAGAAATTATTTCCGGAATTAGTATAATATACTGTATATCCCCGGCTATATTAAAACCTTTGAATATACTAAAAGATGTACAGTGTTCCTTTCCACAAAATTGTTTTTGTTGTCATTTCGCTATGAATCACCCTGTAGGGAGCGGTATATTCTAAGCAGGAAGCGTATAGTCCGCAATTTTTGTGAATAACATTATGAATATTTTTTATAGAATATAGATCCAATTAGATACTAAAAACTCACCCTCTATGTCTAATTTGTTGCAGCAGTTACGTCGCTGGATAGCTTGAGCGTTTTTGACGATTTTTTCCGATGTTAATCAGTACAAAGGCATTAACTTTGGCTAGTATTTCATATTTACTCTGATGAACCTCTAGAAGTACTGATTAATATTTAACACGATGTAGGAAGCATTTCCACATTATATAAATGAGAGTTAAATCCAATTTTGTAAATTAATAATGAAGTAAGATAAAATTCTATAAATTGGTTTCCGAACCAATTTTCTGTCAGAATAATCCAAAGAGTAAACATTTTTGATTAAGTTTTATAGTAATGGTATACAAAAAGCCTTTAGAGTACACTTTTCAGAATCTGAATTATATCCGCTCATTTCCCAATATGCTGTGCAAGTTGTAGTACATGTTGGGGAACTTATCGTGACACAGGTTGTGTAGCAAAGTTGTAATGGAACGTCGTAGGCACAGCCATCGCTTAAATACTCGTATTCAGATGGGGTATTAAATATAGTAGATGAAATTACCCAAAATATGGATGGAAAAGTACCATCGATAAGCGTACTTGTGGATTTACAAAAAGCGTTTGACACAGTTAACCACAATATACTTTTGGAAATCTTAGAAAGAATAGGTTTTCGTGGAAAGATGTATACTTTAATGGAAAATTATTTATCAAATAAACCGCAATCAGAAAAATTATTAAACTCATATAGTAAGGAAATGTTTGTTAAATGTGGTGTACCACAAGGTACAATTTTGGGTCTTCTGTTATGTAATATTTATTTAAACGATATATTCAAAATTAATAGTACTTAAAATAGTCAGTTTTCCGGACGACACTGCTATATTCTATAAAGGTAAGTATTGGAACGACTTAAAAGATGTTATCCAAAATGACTTTTGAAAAATTATTCAGTGGTTTAATAATCGAAAATTAACAATTAACTTTACTAAAACACATTTTTTTACAATTTTCATCACTATCCAATCATCTTACAAAATATAACCACCTTCGCTTTAAGGTAAATGATAAAAATCTAAAAATCAATAGAGTTAATGATACAAAATATTTAGGAATTTATCTAGATCCCCACTTGAGATGGGATGTACATGTACATATTGCTTACATACTTCAGAAAATTAGATTCATAGCATATAAAATAAAATTTCTAACCGGTATATTAACTGAATATTATCTGCGAATAATATATCAAGCTTTCGTCCAGCCGCACATAAGATATGGTATAGTAGTATGGGGTGCTGCATGCACGACATACCTTAACAATTTAGATGTGCTTCAAAGAACAATTTTAAAATCAATGTTTGGCAAATCAAAATTATACCCAACTAATGACTTATACAGGGTGTTTCAGTTTATTGTAGCATAACTTTCAGATACGATAGAACTTTTTAAATTGATGCATAAAGTCTATATAAATATGGGTCGAAAAATGCGTGGCTTCCGAAATACAGGGTTTAAATTTACTTTCTAAAATAGTTTTTTTTAAATATTTCGAACAATATTTGATGTATAACAGTGAAAATTGGTATACAAGGGTTTTTTAGTACGAAAAAACGAACCATGGGCATAGTTTTACTGTAGCCGCTAGATGGCGCTCTCTACTGTACCTGTAGTGTATTAAAATGACCGAAAATTTTTTCTTAGTGCAATTTTTTGCTTTTTGAATAAAAAAACTGATTCTTCGCACTTTTCAACATTAAGAAGCTCTCCTGTGAGTTTTCGTTATAGTTATAGCCGTATAGCCGTTTTTGAGATATTTCGACTTTTAAGGTGCATTTTTAGTTATTTATGGGAAAAAATATTTTTTTTTACATTTTCGATTTGGGCATTACAAGTAATTAAGATGATCGTTTAGATTGTGCTTTTAAACACAGCAATAAATCCTAACTCCAAATAAACACAAAAAATAGAATATTAATTTGTTTAATTTTCCAATATTATTTTTAACAAATTAGATTAATTATTTACACTTAAAATGCTATTGGATAGTTAGGACAAACATACAAAATCTAAAGTAGTTCCTCGAAATGTTAACCCAATTGTTCAATAGACAATTCACATCTACGAATGATCGAACGTGGTATAGCATTATTCAAATAAGGCCTTATTTCATCACATGCGTTCCTGATTATGTCTATTAGCATATCTCTTGTGGTTACGGGACTCTGGTACACTTTTTCTTTTAGAAATCCCCACACAAAGAAATCCAATGGATTTAGGTCCGATGATCGTGGAGGCCAGGCGACTGGTCCTCCACGGCCGATCCATCTTTCTGGATAATTTTCGTCCAGCCAGTTTCTAACTATTCTCGAATAATGAGCCGGACAACCATCAAGCTGGAACCAGGCCAATCTTCTTAAATCTAACATAACATCATCCCACATATTTGCATGTTCAGCCTTTAAAAATTCCAAGAAGGTCGCAGCATTTAACCTTGCAGGCAAAAGGTAGGGTCCAAATAGTCGATTACGGTAGATACCAATCCACACGTTCACACTAAATTCATGCTGAAATTTTCTTTCCCGAACTGCATGCGGATTTTCATGCGACCAAATATGTTGATTATGAAAATTTACCACTCCACGTCTAGTGAAGCATGACTCATCGGTCCATAAAACGTTACTTAAAAACTCCCTATTATTATCAGTTCTATCAAGAATCCACTGACAAAATGTGATTCTTCGTTCTCCGTCCCCTGGCTGTAGTCCTTGCACAGGTTGCAAATGGTAAGGACGTCTATGGTCATTTCTAAGAACACGGTGAACATGGCTTGCTGAAATTCCCAAGGCACCAGAAACTCTCCTAACACTTGTGGTAGGATCTCTATCAAACTCACGCAGAATCACACGGGTAAATCTGCGCTGACGAACGTTTATGTTTTGATCCCTTTGGAGATTTCCAAAACCATTTTCAATTATTTGGCACTCTTACAAATACTGAGCGAGTTGGATGTCGTCTGTTTGGAAATATTCGTGCGTATTCTCTGGCTGCTCCTGCTGCGTTTCCATTTACAAAGCCATACACAAAATGAATATCCGCTAACTCTAACTAAATTTCGTGCATTCACAATTGCAAAAAAACGTTTCAGGTTTCAACAACAAAACTAACTGTCAACTAATTGACGTTTAACCTTATTCTGCTTTCAATTTCAAAAATATTTGCAGGCACAGTCTACTTCTAAAAATTATCGAGATACTGACTTTTTAGCGTTATTTTATCATAAATAATTAAAAATGCATCGAACCTTAAAAATCGAAATATCTCAAAAACGGCTAACTATAACGAAAACTCACAGGAGAGCTTTTTCATGTTGAAAAGTGCGAAGAATCAGTTTTTTTATTCAAAATGCAAAAAATTGCACTAAGAAAATTTTTCGGTCATTTTAATACACCACAGGTACAGTAGAGAGCGCCATCTAGCGGCTACAGTAAAACTATGCCCATGGTTCGTTTTGTCGTATCAAAAAACCCTTGTATACCAATTTTCATTACTACACATCAAATATTGTTCGAAATATTTAAAAAAAAATATTTTAGAAAGTAAATTTAAACACCCTGTATTTCGGAAGCCACGCATTTTTCGACCCATGTTTATATAGACTTTATGCATTAATTTTAAAAATTCTATGGAATCTTAAAGTTATGCAACAATAAACTGAAACACCCTGTATAATGATGAACAAGTATATGATACTAAACAACTTTACTTCTAACATTCCATCACTCATTATCACAAAATTATTAGTAAACGCGACATAATTAAACATAGTAATAACAGCAGATATAAATTATGCGCAAAAAATAGTCCTAAACCAAACAAATCTTTAATGATACGATGTCACCTGTATTTAGCTCCAAAATTGCGCGAACTTTTACCAAATAATTTAAAACAATTACGCAATACATTAGGTTTCAAAAAAGAATTAAAAAAATTTATTAACACGATTGGGAGAAATCACATTAATATAATAATCTCAAATATTACACAATAAATGCTCTATCATTCTTACCAATAATTCTTTTTTTTATCTTTTGCAATTCAGCATTCATATGATCCATGCACAGGCGTTGTCCTCCTATGGATACATTATATTTATTTACTCGTCTCATGTTCCCTGTACTTTTGAGTAAATAAATATTATTATTATTATTATTATTATCATTATTTCTCATTTTTTATATTTCAAAAAATGAAATTATTTGGTAGATGAATCATTAATTGAATCCGCCTACATTTCAGATATCTTGAAACAAGCTTATAGGATTACTGATAATATTTTCTATACATACAGCCTACCTACTAATAAATAACAGTTATTCCTTGAACAAACCGAGAATTCAAGCAGCAACGTGTTTACGAGCACAATAAACGTTATAAATAATGCGAATACCATATTCCATTCCAGCCAACAACAGCAAATATTAACACATTTTATAACACTAATGGTACCGCAGGTACTATACCGGGTGTGGTCAATTTCATTTTACGTCATTGTGATATAAATGCGTGTTTAGATAACAGCTTTTATGGTTAAGGTGCAACTTTGTATAGATATCCTGGTCTGCCATTTAAATCGTAATTTATTCTGTTTTTAGTTTCTAATGACCAGATGGTTGGTTGAATGTATGTATGAATGTACTCGTATTAAGAAAAATATTACGGCAGACATGATAATTCTCAGTCATTAATAAAAATAAAAATCGTTCTTAATTATGGGTACATACTATTTCTGTAGAGATGTACGCATGATAACGCATCACGAACTATGTAGCTGTGGACTGGTAAAGTGGTTAGAATGTTTTTCTTATAAGCAGAAAGTCGTTCCATCGAAATCTTTGTATTATTTTTAACACGCTTTTATTAACTTGACCTGTATGCATGTAGGTATGTTTGTAACGGAATTTTTCAACCTAATTTTCACCAACTTCAAGAAATAAGAAACTTGAAAATTTGAACGAGAGTTAAGGGCCGATTACAATACAACAAAAACTGAATTTGTGATTTTTCAAGAGAATTGAATTTTGATATTTGGAAAAAGATTGTATTTGAAAATATTTAAAATAATTGGAAAATTTGGAGGAATTGGAAATTTTGAAAGAAATTAGGATCTTTCGAAATTAGAAAAAATATGCAAAATTTCGAAGCTTTTGATTATAAGTATTGTCGTTTTGTTATAGTTAAAAAACTAAAAAACACTTTTCAATAGCAAATCGAACTAAAACGTAGAAAATAAGATACTAGAAAAACATTCAAATATAGTAGGAAAGCAATTAACGACATTGACATAATAATAATCATATTAGACGAAAATACCCCTGGTTTGCAAAATAATTGCAAAGTTTGCATTTATTGCTGCAAGTTTTTCAATGGGGTATTCAAAACATGGACGTATGAAACGGGTACACCAATTTTTGTGGGAAAACTTATTCGATAGCAAAGAATGAGACTTTTGGGACTCAATCGAAAGTGTTGGCAGGAACGAAAAAACTCTTCATACAAGATTTTTAGGTATTTATGAGAACTACAAAATGAGACCACACGTAAAAAGATCCAAAAAAGTTATGGCTGAAAAACCGAGGCAAACTGCAGGTTTTGGCACTTATTGGTATTGCGACGATGGTTTCTCGCAGATATTTGAAATTCTTCAAATTCGTAGGATTCGTACTTCTAAACAACTACAACAAAATTGGAGTAGACTGGTCAAGTAGTTTTTTAGAATTAGTAATTGCTTATCCCAAAACACCTGTTTTTCCGTTTTTACTAGTTTATTGAGCAATATACAGGGTTAGTTCAGAGGGCATATTATAGCAAAATACACCAGTTCACCTTGGCGATGTGAATCGCAAACCATTCCGGAAGATAAATGTTATTTTTATGCGAAAAAGGATAGGTTACGTTTTTGCTTCTAAACAAGTTCAGACATTTCGTATTTTTGAGTAATTCGCAACAACAGATGATAGTGACATCCGCTTTGTTTTAAAATGTGTATAGTAACTAACGTATGTTTTCCAAATATCGTAGTGCCTTTGTTCCATCACTCACAAATACGAAATGTTTGAATTTGTTTAGAAGAAAAAAACGTAACCTTTGTTTCTCGCACAAAAATAACATTTATCTTTCGGTATGGTTTGTGATTCATATCGGGAAGGTAAACACGTGTATTTTGCTATTGAATGCTCTTCAAACAAACCCTGTATATTGCTCAATAAACTAGTAGTGATGGCCGGAAAAACAGAAGTTTTGGGGTAAACAATTAGATATTCTCAAAAAACTACTCGACCAATCTACTCCAATTTTGTTATGGTTATTTAGAAGTACGAATCCTACGAATTTGAAGAATTTTAGGTATCTACGAGAAACCATCGTCACATTACCAACAACTGCTAAAACCAGCAGTTTGCCTCGGTGGTCTCATTTTGTATGTCTCATAAATACCCAAAAATCTTATATGATAAGAATTTTCTTTCCTGTCAACACTTTCGATTGAATCACAAAAAACACGTTGTCTCATTCTTTGTTGTCAAATAAAAAGTTTACCTACACAAATTGGTGTACCCATCTTATGCGTCCATGTTTTAAATACCCCCTTGAACAACTTGAACCAACAAAACCAGATTTGCTGTTAAAGCGTGTTGTTTCTAGTCTTTTCAAACTATAATCTATTAAGTATAAGTTCGTATAGACTTCAAGATGAGGCGAAGAAGAAATTCAAATAATTAAAATTTGTTCAATGAGAATGCTTTCAATATGCACTTGGCAGCCGCAAGTCTAAAGCTCAACTACTATTATAATGGAGTTGAGAAAAATTGTTTGATGCGAGCTTTGAAGTGAAGTTTTCTTGAATTGGGAGAGCTTGGTATATATTTCAAAATTATCATTAGGTTTCTTAGGGCCGAAGAAGCGATGGCCACTTCTAGATGATAAAAGTAATAATAAGTTTATTTCCAACAGGAAATATCAAGACATATCAATAACAGACAGTAGACAAATACACAGATAAGTATAACAATATATAAATATATATAGGTCAATAATCAACAATAATATTCTACCTTACAACTTCATCAAGGTAATGTTCGATGACGCAAGTGTCATTAAATATGTCGCAGTTACTAATACTATTCAATAGTGTACACAACCTATAAACGGGAGACTTGGAGAAAACAGTGGAATTTAGCACAATAACGGTTACCTAAGCGAGGAACATTAACACCTATGTTACTTAAAATACAGGGTGGCGCATCGAAAACGAAACAGACGCATTTACTGACAGCTCAGTTTTTTTTTTGTAAAAACGCTGACCCGTCGATTTTGTTTTCGAGGGGGACACAAGTTTGGCAAAAAATCACGTTAGCACGTGCAGCCCCCAAAATCTTAAATGGAAAGGGGGGTCGAGTGATACCTTATTTTAAAGGTCTTTCAATTACCTTTATAATGATTCAGTAGTTTTGAAGATTTATTGATGGTGCCCCACCACATTACGCATTGCGTGTTCGAAAATATTTAGATCAGACGTTTCCAGATCGATGGACTGGTAGAAGAGGTGCCATTCAATGGCCCCCAAGATCGCCTCATTTATCACCTTTGGATTTCTTTATGTGGGGTCATTTAAAAAAGCAAAATCTATGCTACTCAGCCAACATCATTAGAAGACCTGCGACAAAGAATTGTAAATTAGTGCCTTCAAATTGCTCCTCAAATATTACAAAATGTGCGGCAACGTTTTGAGCAAAATCTTTATTATTGCATGGAAAGTCATGGTGGCCATTTTCAACATTTACTTGCCTAACGGGTCAGTTCATTCATTCATTTTTAAATTACTTTGCTGCCAAATGTATTGATCTCCACTAATTATGATGTATTAGTTTTATTTAAGCTTTAAATAGAGAGATAAGACCTTTAAAATAAGGTATCACTCGACCCCCCTTTCCATTTAAGATTTTGGGGGTGCACGTGCTAACGTGATTTTTTGCCAAACTTGAGTCCCCCTCCAAAACAAAATCGACGGGTCTGAGCATTTAAAAAAAAAAAACTGAGCTGCAAGTAAATGCGTCTGTTTCGTTTTCGATGCGCCACCCTGTATATGGACAATACATTTTATTGTGGAGTAAACTAAACAAAAAATATTTCGGCGTACTTCAAGCGGTATGGTATCAAAAGTTTTGAGCAATACATTATCGTCGAAACCTCTTTGTGGATCATTTGACTGAAATACATTTCACAGGTTTTCGTTGAATAGATTCCAATCTGCTACTGAATTTTTGATAAGTGCCCAGATAAGCGATGTATATTCAAGCTTGCTTCTGACGTATGTTAGATATAGAAACTTGGTTGTTTCAACATTGGAGAAACCTGAACTGTTTCTAATACAGTACCCTAGCATTCGAGAAGCAGACGATGCCATGTTATTTATGAGATCATTAAAAGTAAACTCGGTGTCAAATGTAACACCTAGGTCTTTATAACTGTTACTCCTTTCTAACCTTACTTGATTAATACTGCAGTCATCATAAAGCGTAACATATTGTAGGAAACAAAATGTTTACTTTATATTTTGACACATTTAATGTGAGGAGGAATGGAACACCATAAATTGATAATTTCCAAATCATTTTCGAGAAAATGGCAGTCTTCGGAAGTTATGATACTATTGTAAATGCTTAAATCATCAGCGAAAAATAAATGATGACACTTAATATCAAGCGACAAATCATTAATTAAGATTAAAAATAGCAAAGGTCTCAACCTAGTCACCTGGGAAACTCCTGAAGTAGCTAAGTAGTTATTAGACTTGAAACTAATATATGCCACAGTGTTCTGTCTGGAGGAGCGAGGGTAGATTTTCAGAAAATCTAAGGTTTGATAAATTTTGCAGTAATAAGCAATGATCGATACGTTCCGCCAATGATTTTTTCCAAATAATAATTATTTTTGAATTCCCCGTTCAATTTAAAACAAATGATTTCCTTCGATGCGCCATTTTTGAGTAAAAAAAATAAAAACCGTTCTATTGTTCGAGAATAAATATCTAGTTGCTCTGGAATATGTCACTGGCTTTTGACATCTTACAAGTCTCTGTTATTCAAATCTGTTCGCTGTGACATCTTTTTCAATTTAGTTTTCACAATCTTGTTAATAATGGTGGATTATTCAAATGAAGAGATGGCGGAAATGCATTACGTATATGGCCTTGCCGACGGTATTGGTGAGCAAGCCAGACGGATTTATCACCAGAGATATCCCGATCGTGCTTTGCCAGATAGTTAAACCTTTTCTAATATTCATCCTCGTCTTGTTGAAACTGGTTCTGTCCGAAAAGGAACATCTGAAGGTAGACCTCTAAGTATGAGAACACCTGAAATTGAGGAAGCAGTGTTGCACGAGGTCGAAGAACATCCTGAAACCAGTACGAGGAAGATCGCTAGACACTTAAATATTTGCCAT